ATACTTCAAAATATTGTTATCGATCAATAAATCATTACTGTAGTGCCAGCTATTCAAAGTTTTCTGGTTCACAAGGTTATTTAACTACTGAAAATTGGGAGCCCTTTTATTATCTTTATAATGGGGTAATTGATTATTACGGTGTAATTGCGTAACACAAATGTCATTTGCAACTTGAGGAGTGAATTCCCAATGACCAAGCCTGGAAGAATCATAGTGATGATTTCGTATCAGGTACTGTGGGTTAGATGTGTTTTGATTAATCCGTAAAATGTTACAGAAAGCAGAAAGGGATGCTTCATAATTGCAATCAATTGCACCAAAATGTTCTTTCGCAACCGGTTGTTTCTATCACACTTGTTCAAATTTCTCACAGAGTATTAGTTTTTCAGAATACCTCATCGATATGTTTCTAAAAATATATTGATAATGATAATAAGTTTGCTATCTTCCTAACGCATTTAAAGCTGTACAATTGCAATTCAAGATACTGGGGACGTATGTTTAGGGAGGAGATTAAGATTGTAACCAATAGATTAGGAGAAAATTTTGGTCTATATGGTGGCATCCTAAATTGCCTAAGAATCACCACCGGGGCTTGTATATTTCGTTCGATATTTCTAATGCCCTTATTTACCCCGTCATAAAACACATACTCAAAACAAATGTTGATTGGTAAAAATTGAACAGACACGTTTGTTGAATGATAAACAAAGTGACCACGTGTGAAACACCATCCTCTGAATGACAACCACGGGAAAAACATCGGGTGAGGAACAGAACAAGTCAGAAAACCTAATACCAGTGGAAGTCCTCCGATATATACTTTCATCGGTCACTTGATAGGCTTCTAACAAAGATTTCAAGTTATTCAGCGAAATTTTGGACAGTATCATATAGACGGAAGGTGGTGTACAGTACTGCCTTGCCGTTCAGGGATGGTATATCAAGAGGGCTAGAGAGAGAGAGAGAGAGAAAGGGAGAGTGCACGAACATGCTCCATAAAATACGTGACTCTGTTTCAACCCCCTCTCCTCCCCCCCCGTTGTTCCATTACATGCAGGCCAACAATGCGTTTGTGGGTCATTACCTGAACCCATCGCTTCATACTTTATGTGCATTAACATCACTCTTTGGAAGAACGTGTAAATAAGCGAGACTTGATCAAATCATTTCACAACTTGGCGCGAACATGATCACTTTTATCGAACGAACGTTGGAATGATTCAGTCAAGCTTCCAATGCACACTGTGACTGGGACTGAGAAGTTTCCAACCCGGGGAAAACATTTACAAATCAATCATGAACTACTGGCTCAAATCACAATTCAACGGTTGAAAGAGTCTTGCTCATACCACGGTGCATTCCGAAATACCAATGATCGTGTTGATCTGAGTCAAAGTTTATAAAATTAGTCATATATAGAGAGCAAAAGTTGGGAAGCACAGCTCTTTCAACTGTGTTTGATATGAGTACCAGTACTGACCAAACGACCCCGCCGAGGATCGTGTCTGGTAGCCATGTAACTTCCAATCGATCGGTTGGTCGAACTGGTTCAATTAAACCATACATGACAACACACTCAACGCACAATTGAAAACTTATCGGGATAAAATAGGTCTCTATTCTAACAACAGGTCCCCAGGGGTTACGCTTTGTTTGAATCCATTTAGTTGCCAAATTCCATCACATTGAACTAACTAGATGATATTGTCTCAGTAGATGATCATTATCTACTTCGCTTGAACCAATAACCAAAACAATTTTTAACATCACTGTTCACTACTTCCTTGTATGTATGAACGGAACCAAGTGTTGCATGTCCTAAACTACGAAAACACTGGTCCGTTAATGGTCAGTTTCCGCTGCATGACTGCTTCTTGAGTTAGTGACTGCAATGTTTCAAGTCCTGGTTGCCACATGATTTTTGTCAAGGTCGACAACGAGCACTGAACAGCCGTTTTTGTGAGGTCAGTCAACAGTGGGAACGACCCAGCCAGGACTCGAATCGTTCACATTTTGAGCGAGAGCCGAAGTCCTTATCTCCGAGTCACATGATTGTTGATTGGACAGCGGTCGGGCGCATGTTGGTTCGACGACATGGTATCTGTGAGTCCCCAGAGTGCCACAAAAATGTTCAATTCTCGTAGCTCAGGAGTACGCGTCTCAAAGGCGTGCGGTTTGAATCCTGAATTGGACGGAAAGAGTACACCTTACTGATGAGTCCAGTAATTTTTGTTGGCTATTGTGAAGTAGTTTGCAGCACACGAAAACAGATAAAGTATGCAAATGCTTTTTTCCGCATGAAAGGATGTTTTGAGATTCTCCGGTTTCTTGTGGATGAATTCCACATGGTCATGCTGCATATAGTGGAACAGCAAATCTGTCCGACTATCAATATCCATTGACTGCATTTAGCTTGAACAACCACGAATAAAATAAACACATTCCAGTTTCCATCACTGATATCACATTTGTCCATTTCACCTCCATAAATTCACATGAAATTGTTCCCATTTGGCCGACCGTATTTGGACGGATCAGTAAATGTAGATGATACCCTTCCCCGAGAAAGTTCCAATTCATAAATGTTGTCTGTTTTGATCAGAGTTCAGCATCGATTAGTCTGACAGTAAGAGCCTAGGAAATGGGTTCGCAAACCCACTGGTTCTATCATGACCATCCATTTCCAAAACTGATGTCTTCGGTCCTGGGTTGCAGTTGCACCACAGATGGGGACACAGATGGAATGGTACGCAATACTGAGGAGTCTCACCACCACCAACAACAACATATCATTCTTTTTGTGAATTCGTGTGGGATTACATGAAGGCTAGATTCAAGTTAGGTATTCGCTCAATGTCAGCTGAGTCGATCAACTTCAATCTGATATGACTGTAAAGCACAAAAAGCATAGCTGAAATTGGAAAGTATCTTTTTCATTTTTAACTTTTTCCCATTTTATACATCTCCTTGAAAGTAAAACGTCGACAAGTTCAGTTTCCGTGGTAGAACCGATTTTAAAATCATCATAAAAACGATAAACTTAACACGCAGAGTTTTTGTGCTCTTGAATTCTGTCGTTCCTCCAGTGGCATTTTGCCGAAAGTTGCAAATGCGCCCAAAACTTCATTCCAGTTTGTAGGTTACAGAAAAATTATTGAATTGACTGTAGGAATGAGGAAATTGGTCGAACAAATGAAGCGTGAACTGAAAAGCTAGGAACCACTGAACAGCTGTTTCGACCTAGTTGGGTCTCATCAGCAGTGCGAATCCATCGACCCAACTGGGGATCAAACTCGGGACCTCACAGGCAGAACGCAAGCATACTATCCATTTCGACCACCGGACTGCTAATCGAATCGTTTTTTTCGTTTTCCATCTACACGATATAGCACAATCCATCTTTGTGAGCTTGTTGCGGGCCTAACGCCTCACTCGTCTCAACACTAGTCTTCGGGGTTATGACTCGGTTGGAAACTTTCACAAATCGGCAACTTATTATATGAGAATAACGGAGAATTTGATTCAATTTCATAGACCAAACGAGTGAAGCTTGAACTGAAAGGCTAAGAAGCACTGTACAGCCGTTCCAACCTTGTGGGGTCTCATCAGGAGTGCGAATCCACTCACTCAACTGACGATCAAACCCCGGGCACGACGAATTCCCTCTAGGAAATTGAATCAAATCCTCCATTAGCTTCATGTAAGAATGAATTGATTTTATATCAGACAACTTGTTGTTATTCTAGAAAAGGTGCTATGAATATCGTGGAATGATCAGTGAAAAACAACAGGAAGCTATTCTGTCTCCATAGGTGCACGTTTGTCTTTTTTCCGGAATTTGAAAAGGAAATCGATTGAGTGGTAGCCGACCCAGTTAGCTGCTATTTACTGCCCGATTGATGACCAAGGAATACAGAAAATGACTATACTAATTAAAAATATCGGATTAAACCCTTTTACTTACAATTGATACTATACACAATGGTCATACGCTTGGATTTCACTCCTTGAGAGATCGTCTGTTCTCCAGAACTCAAGTGCATAGTGCTATCATTGTCATTATGTACAAACCATTTACAATCAAAGCATGTTTTCTAGTGCGATACTTCAAAATCATTTAAAACTGAATCCAAAATATCCCCGTACAAGCTGTTTCTGCTTGGTACATATTAGAGAAAGATTTTTCAATCGTGATCTATCCAGTCAGCGTTCACGATTCGGTGATCAAATGAAACATCCAATGGTCGGATCGAGCATAACTATCGGATTCTGATTGGATGGCTTTTTCAGCCAATCAATCAGCGAGTTGGTTATATCCGTTGATACAACGGAGCACTGTGGATTCCGTGTTCAATTCCGCTGGCAATAGTCACAATTGTTTTCACAAACCGCAAAATTTATCGCGATGCGATGTTTTTTCGTGTACTGTACGCTAAATGTGTTCTTTGCAATAAACAAAACGAGTATTCAGTAGAAAAGCTTCTGTAACGTGCCAATGAGTTTTCTAATCAGTGAGAAAATTACGCTCCTCTCCCCTTCCCTCAAGGATAGTCATTATTTGTGTTCATATACATGTAACCTTCGATAATAGAAATGACTAGTAGTATTTTTGTGTGCCTATGTGTGTACGGAAAGTTGTGAAAACGTTCTAGGTCATTCACGTGATATAAGGTTAATCACACAACTCAAATACTGACAATCGATTAATGGACCAGGATCGTGTTGTTGAATTGTGAGAGTAGCTAAAAATCTATTGTCATAGGACATGCGGTTCTTTCCAGGGCTGAAGCCTTTGGTAAAGTGCACACAAATCGAAAATGAGTTAATTTGCTCGTTAGAATTGACCTTTGAACGGAGAAAGAATTTCAGTGTTGTTGACCTAATTGAGAATGAATTTACGAGAAACCAAAAAAAGAACACGGAAAACTTTATGAAATGAAGAAGAAGAAATGACCACGTGAATAGCACAATTTCGGGAGGATAGTAAAACGTACCGTTCCAGCGTAAAATGAACGAGTCATACATTCGATTGGTCAACTGGTGTAACGCTTTGACCACATTTGAATATGTGAGAGACACAAGCGGCTTTCTTGGATCCCATCGGTACACTTCCTCTCGGCCCGGTTCAATGGCCACACGTAATTTGACAATGCGCATTGACTAACGTACTGCACAAGTTTGCAATGTTTCAATCAACTGCCAATTGCGATAATGGCTCATAACCCGGCAATCGATTTTGATCAATGTTGGACCCGCCTAGTCCTGTCTCGTGCGTATGCGTGCGTGTGCGTGCGTGTGTGCGCGCTCGTGTGTGTGCCCGCGATTGAGCGAGCGAGCGTGCAGCGCAGTCACGTGGTGTACTTCTATGACTATGGCGGTGCATATTAAGGGTTTCGCCTGTGCTTCCACGGCAGTGGTCGTGTGCGAGAGATGCAAAACCGTGGCTCTCTGTGTATGTGTGCCCGCGCACACGCGATTGTGCCTTCTGGCTAGTAGTGGATGAACTCGCACACACGGGGGTTGATTTAGCGTGCATGCACACGCACACACACAAATGCGCCCCCCACTAGTACGCAATGCCACGTCAACGCACATCCTAACCAGTTGAACTTACGAGAGCGCGTTATCAACACTGATGCGCACGTGACACAATATGTGTGTTTGGATGAAAGTGAGGCAATACAATTTTTGTGCATTTTTCTTGTCTGCCAGGAATCGTCTTTTTCAGATGACCCGCGGTTGATCCGGCCACGAAGGGCTCGAGAGCTGCAAAACTGATGTGTGTGTGTGTGTGTGTGTGGTTATGACTCATGAACGTCTAAACCAATCTTCTGTGAGGCTACCATGGGTATTCGTATCATTCCAGGGACGGTTTACCATTTGGGCTGTTCTAGTCGTAACATGAATTTATCTGTACGTAAACAATCGATTATTCCTCTCGACGCTGGGAGAAGTCTTCGCACTTCGTTGGACAGCTACCGCCCACCGAAGCTGGGCAGCCCCAGCCGCTATTCGGCGCAGAAACCTGGCCATTAAGAAAACAGGATAAAGATAGACTGTCGGTGTTTGAACACCCCTGTCTACACAGCATTGCACGAATCTGGTGGGGCAGCCGGACGAGCAATGCTGATGTTAGGCGCAGAGTTTTAGGTAAATGCGGTCGCCCACTGGAGCAAATGGTCGACCTCCATAGATTACGCTGGTTGGGGCATGTGTTACGCATGTTTCCAAATAGGTTATCACGGCGAGCGATGTTCGCCGAGGCAGATAGTGATTGGAATAAAGCCAAGGGTGGTCAAGCTAAAACCTGTCATGAGGGTATGAAAACCCTAACCAGGGGACTGGGTCACATAGGTCCCTTTGTGCTCCCTGGATGGGGACCTCGGGACCAGGGTAATCAATGGTTTGAGACACTCATTGAGATGGCTGAGTATCGTAAATTGTAGAGAGTTCGTGCTTCCACTTAATTTCTTTGCAGCATTAGTCCGCCGATATTCCGAATGTTCTGTTCGGTTCCACTTTCAAACTTCCTGTCTTTCTCCTACTTTCCAACCAAATGCACAGCCAAAAGACAGCAACCAAGACCGGCGCACGACAGTGTACGGTTAATGATTGTTCAAGCCAAAACTGAAACTGACGTGCACGGGAGACGAGAGCATGTTTGGAAAGAGTTGTTGAAATAATTGAATGCACGTGAAATCATACTACTGTAATGAAAGAAAGACATTGCAATCTTCAGTTTGAGAGGTTGAGCAAGAAACTGATTTAGTAAATGTGAAGCACCACGATTCATAAAAAATAATACATGAAACGCCGAAGTGATTCGGTGGTCACACACACATACCAGAAGGTATATATATATAGGTTATTGTGATGAAAATACACTTCCTTAGTACAATTATGTGAATGAACTGACAAAAGATTATCGGATACGCATGCCTGACGAGCGGCAAGAAACGCGAAACCGGACATGTGCTTCCAGAGAAATTCCGTCCAGTCATTCACATACTACTTATTTTATATACGACGCACATTATTGAGTCACGTAGTAGTTCGGAGATCTTGAATGACGATGCCTGGCAAGAGGTATTCACTCGACGATAATCAGAATGAAAATGATTTTCCGGCGGAAAAGGATCACGAGGAGGGAGTGAGATGGGTGTGTGTGTGTGCGTGCGTGCGTGTGTGTGTGTGTGTGAAAAATACATACAAAGCGTTTTCAAATGTGCAACCGAGGAGAGATCTATTCATTGGAAAGTTGTAAATATGTGAGCGAATTTATTTGGAACGGACTACTGATAGATTGTTGAAACAACTCCAGAAGAGATAAGGGGATCGCACTACTCCAACTTGCATGCATAGACTCCAAGTTGAACAGAAGAACGAACTCATGCGACGATTAAGTCAATAAGGGAAAATAATGTACGGTATTTAAGGAATTTTCTAACGAAACATAACAAAGAAGCTTCAGTATCAAGTTTCACGTACAAACTATCCTTTCCTATGAAAAAAGAAACAGAAGAAAATCGTAAAACAGAATGAGTTAGAAAACAAGCGAATGAAGAGAGAGAAAAGTGAAGATAGGATAACCCAGTATTCATACATACCAAACCCGTGAAAGTGCTAAAAGAGAGAAGTCAGTACCAAGACAGAGAGTTGTGGGAACGAATATGGTGACTTGTCGAAACAATTGGGGTTGACATAATGGAGCTCACTACCAACTATCTCCCTTTTCCTGCAGCCTGTTGCGTATTAACGAAACTGATTGCCTAATTCCATCTGAATGCACAGCGGTGAGGGTTTGTGAAGGATGTTGATTGTCTCCCTTGTGGCCCAAATGTAAACCATTCTGTACGGGATTGATCTCATTTGTACACTGTAAAAGAATCAACAGATGCACTTGTTGAAGGTGGAGGTGTAATGAGTGTTAATATGAGGTGAAACTGCCGCACTTGTGACTGATTCAGTTGCTCTGCCTTTTAGGTAGACACATAAAGTGTCTGAAATACCATAAGTGCAATGTATATTTCAATCGTACATACTCCAATGGTCTACATCCACTCGAGTTTTGAACATGATTAGAACAGAGACAAACAACCGATCCTGAGGCCTTTGAACAAAATACAACTGGCCCGGAAGGATGCCCCAGTCCGAGATGAGGAACAAATTTGCAAATTCCATCTGATCATAAAGAAAATATTTTAGTGCATCACAATCAGCCAGTACTGTACTTTCACAGTGAAAACCCTCTCGCTCTCTCTGTGGGTGTGCTTAGTCATATGTGCATATTGTGCTGTACTGGGATGAGAGTGGAACACTGGAAATGAAATTTTTCATACCACTTTGTGTTCTTTAGTCCTAGTCCTGGTGTGTGATCTTAATTAATCGCGAATCAAACCAATGTAACTTATTCATATTCGACCCTATTATTGATACTCACTTGTTACTTTTATCAGTATTATTGTTATTATCTAGTAGTTGTAATAGATTTTTTGTTTAGATCATCTGGTCAACACCTGTTTATGCGCACGGATCCCGGAAACTCTGGTTGTTTTACGTCTGTGATTGAAAAAGGTAAACGCAATGTGAACATCTCGCGACTTTTGTCTTCCTTCCATCCTAATAAATTGTTTATACCAATACCTGAAGCGCGATATATCGAAAAGGTTCTCCGCCTTTCCACTTTGCTATCATTCATCGATAGGAATGTCGCACGTCAGTTTAATTTATGACATGTTAACCACAACAAATGACGAACCACGAGAAAAATATGGGACGGTACTGTTCCTTTGTTGACTGTCTTTACCGAACAATTTTTTTCCAAATGGTTGTTCCTTCAAAACCTAAAATAGTTGTTCGCGTACTTTCAGGAAGCGAAATTGTCCATTGCAGATTGATACACCTTGTCCGATCAGAGTTAGATTATCCACTGAAATGAGCTGTTAACACCGCAAAAATGGGGCATGTTTTAGAACGGTTAAAATCAAAAACATGCCAACCAATGAAGATGATTCGGATGATGATGATGATTCGAATGATGATGATGGTGATGATGATATTGATGATGATAATGCGAATCAAGGTGGTTTGTGTTAAAGCCTGAACATTCCTGAAAACTTCTCTTTGCAAATAGAAGTGAATCTGCGAGGAGGAGGTAGAGTGCAATACTGAGTACAGGGTGGCCACCAGGTTCTTCGACGGTATTATGGAAATCATGCCGTGCCCGAGGCAAGGCATTTCTTGAAATTCCGACTTGCACGTGTGTATAAGCGTTGAACTGGTTGGAATATACACTTTCGAGAGAAACCAGTGCACTGAAAACAGGTGAGCGAGTGTCCTCTTATATTGACTGAGTGTGATGAACATGATTTCAAGCTCCCGTATTTCGCCACACTGTCTGTTCATTTGTTTCTGGTGAACGATATATATTTATCAGAGCGGCTATTGGCGCGTATGTTGCTTCCCTTTAAATTTGGGATCGTTACTGACAATCTTACTGTTTAAGAATTGTAAACTTTCCCTTCATTCATTCTTTAAGAATGAATATAAATTTATCTGTTAGCTGTTCTCGGGATTCAGTAACTTTACTTCCGGTTCAGTAGGTGAATGTTCAAACAGTTTTACTTAGATTGGAAGTGACCACTCAAATATCTGCCATTTGACACACAGAAATCGGTCAAATTAGGTGACGGGGTGGTATGGTTCTAACACGTAACCTTCGGAATGTGGACTCGGTGAGTTCGACCATCGCCGTTCTATCATACACGGCGTTTCCACCATCTCACCTCATTTACTCCATAGTTGTAACTTTCGTATTATTCACAGCAGGGATAGCTTTTCCAATGCTGATGAAGTTTTCCTGCATATCAAACATATCCTCCAAATATTGATATTTGTCTTACCGTCTTTCGAAATAAAAATAATTACGGCTCACATGGAACCTTCAAAAGCCTTGAATTTATCACGTGCATTATCATACAGGCCCTAACCTTTCAACCCGCAGCTGAAGAGCAGTACAAACATGGTCGAGCAGGTTAATGGCATACAAGACTAGACACATTGGACCTGACGACAATGAAACCTATGTTGATTCTACTAATATGGGCTTTCATCTTGAAATAAGCAACGCCGTCTACCTACTGCATATTACGCGCTGTGACTCATATTGACCGATTGAATAGAATTATCATTCTGGATCAGACACTCACACACACCAGGTCCGTGACAATAGACAACCGATTTGGAGTCTGCACGGAATGCGGCACGGCTCGAGGATGGAAAAACGTGAGAAGCGAACTGCGCATTCCGCTCACGCGTATCCATTCACGGGAGGGGGGGGGGAGACACTATTCTCAAATGAAAATGTTGTTGTTGTTGCTGTTGACAATAGATATACCTGGTGAGAAGTTATTTCAAGCAAACAGCGCATAGGGAGAGTTAACTGTGGGAACGTAGTCACCCACGATTCACAGTGTTGACGTAAAAATAAGCAGTACGGGAGTTTTAACCCGGTGGACTGTGTGTACCTTGCTTGTTGTTCAAATCGTTGAACACCGACCGTTGCGTAGGTGGGGTGGGGTGGGGCACAGATCTGTACAAAAACAAACCGCATGGAACTCCGAGAAACGAACATCCGTCGGTCGGGTTGGTTGAGAAGAATCACGCTTTTCTTGAATATCCATAAGCCAATTAACAATCGGTTTCGGTAAATAATATAGTGTACAAAATGCTACTAACTTCACCACACACAGCTGATCGATGCCTCGAACACTCTGACCGATCACGAGGTTTTGTATTAGGATGATTCCGCTCATTATTCAAAATATGGAAATCAAACGGAATGCGATAATGACTTTACTGAATTGATTTATTCTAAGAACTGTGCCCATGGGAGTGCGAAAAGCTATTATTCCCCCCCCCACCCGCCAGCCCGCCCCAGGAAAATAAACATGTCCAGCTGGTAACCAAGCCCACCAGACTTTATTATTCTTGGGTGAAACGCAACGCTCAGGCATACCTACGATTAACCTTTCGAATGGGCAAAAAAGTTCCGTTCAAAAATTATAGCTATCTTTAAATCATGAACATTTACACAAACTCGTCTGGTCAATGAAACCCGTACATTTTCGATGGCATTCGAATTTTGTATGCGGTCTGTTAAGTCCATGACTGATGTTTCGATTCTGAAGTCACATCCTTGTCAATTCGCATTTAACTCACAGTTACTTGTGAGTAGTGTGGTGAGATAATTGATATCGATTGATTGATTGATCAAAACTGAACGTCCTTCAGACCATACCTTCACGCACATTCCTCATTTCTTCCAGTGAAACACACATTAGGAAGGACTAGACTCGAGTTTAACTCTTATTAGAGCTCATCAGTAGTGCATAACCATCTTCTCACTCGGGATTTGAACTCCGGACCCATCGCATGGAAGGCGTGTGTGTTACCACTGTGCCAACTAGCTAATGGAGTTCACAGATAGTCAACTGTGTCTCTCTTCGTTGCTATCGGACCTAATTGAACTGATTGACTGCCTCTAAAAAGGACAACTGAACAAACATGATTTGGAATTTCGGTTCAGCCTTGTCAAGAGCTGGTTGGCACAGTGGCAATACACACGCCTTCCATGCGATAGGTCCGGAGTTCAAATCCCGGAGGTGACGGTGGATATGCACTATTGATAAGCTCGAAACTGGAGTCCAATGCTTTCGAGTGTATGGTTGACTGGAAGAACTGAGGAATGTGCTTGAAGGTATGGTCTGAAGGATGCTTATTTTTTTGATTTTACTTATACCTTCAGTTCCCTTGTCCGTCACATTCTCATCCAATATCTCTCCGACTACGGCCCAGAATCTGACATGTTAAATGCTCTTCCAAACCACATCAATTTCAGTACGCAATTCACTTCATGTAGTGGTAAAAATTCGTCCTTTCCTCACCTTCCCTCTGGCATTTTCCAACGCTCCATTTATTCTCAGTTGTTTCTCCGTGTAAATGAATAACCTTCAGGTTCCTACCAAACTGATTGTTTGACTGACGATGTGGTACCCCTCTCACTCCCCTCCCA